ATTGTACTTTTACTTTTAATGGCGTAGGTCACAATAGGTGGTCATTTCCGAGGAAGTAAGTCACACCTACATGTACTTGTCTGATCTACCACATACATATATACATGTATACGCTCATTATAGAAATGGATTTCGTATACCTCCACATCAAGGGGCGCAGTACCTTTCTAGTATATATTTTAATCACCGGAAAGTCCACATAGCAATGCATTATGTCATAATTATACATACCTATTTTTGTTATTGACTAGTAAAAGTCACAGTGATTTTTTAAAAATTATCTTCCTGTTTGATTTTCCATACATTGTCTGATCCCTTTGAAATAAGAGTTTATTTCCGAGAGGGCTAGTTGTAGTACCAGTATTCGTGTAACACATATAGTCATACTCACCACAAATCGTCCAGAGGGCACCTATAACAAGCCAGCAGCCATGAGTCCATCTACATGTAGCCTCTTCCTTGTTTGTCTGCTCGTTAGTGTTCACAGAAATCTGGTCCAGGGTAATTATGTTTGTTTGTTTTAAAATAATGTAAAAGTCAGGGCTTGATGACGATGGTTCAATAATTTAAATCATTCGCTTTAAAAATTGAACGGCAATGATAACTTTGTACATGTATGTATACAATTAAAACTGAAAATAACTACCGGGGTATCCTGTTTTTTTTAATCATTCGATCAATTCTTTAATATTTTTTTTAATAAAATCAAAATTAAAGTTTTTAATGAAATCAAAAATTTATTTTTGTTAGACTGTGAGTTTTATTCATGTTGTATTTTGATTGACTGTTGTCTGTATGTTTTATATGAAGGTCTAATTTGATTAGTGGTTGTTGGTCATATGTCTATGTAGTTTTATTGGTTGTGTTATGTATATTGGTTGCTGAATGCATGTTTTATCTAAAGGGAAAATTTGATTGGTTGACTTATGCATGTCTGTAATTTGACTGGGTGTTGTAAGTGTGTCTGTACTTTGATTGGTTGTTGATTGGTAGCAGCTTGAACTCTTTAATTTGATTGGTTGTTTTTAGTAGGTCTTTACTTTGATTGGTTGCTGTTTGTATGTCTATACTTTGATTGGTTGGGAACCGTGCGTCTGTACTTTGATTGGTTGTTGTTCGTAGTCTGTAATTTGGTTGGCTGATATCTGTACGTCTGTAATTGACAGGTTGCTAGATCTGTACGTTTCTACTTTGATTGGTTGTTGCATGTCTGCACTTTGATTGGTTGTTGTTCGTACGCCTGTAATTTGATTGGTTGCTATCTGTACGTCTGTCATTGATAGGTTGCTAGATCTGTACGTTTCTACTTTGATTGGTTGTTGTATGTCTGTACTTTGATTGGTTGTTGTTCGTACGCCTGTAATTTGATTGGTTGCTATCTGTACGTCTTTACTCTGATTGGTTGTTTTCAGGCTGTGACTCAGACAGCCAGTGCCCGTACGGATACCACTGCTGCACGGGAACCGACTGGTGTTGTTCGTCTGGGTACATATGTACCGGAACTGCCACCTGCTTATCCGTTGGGTTCGTATTTCATAATTTATTCCCCCTAATATTCAAGTCAGTAAAGGCACGAAAGAAAACGTAGAAAAGTCGATATCATTTATATTTTAGTATGAATGTCAGAGTTTTTACAGGCAATACAGTTTATAATTTTGATTTTTACATAAATAAATAGTTTTTTGTCCAGTTTAATAGTCAAATTTTTATGGAAAACATGGTACATTTATTATGGTATACTTTGTATGCCCTTCGATGAACATCTATATCAACTCGCATACATGTACAAGAACCAGCTTTGACATTAAAGTCCAATATTTGTTTACTCTTTTGTAAATATATATAATGTAGGCCTATCTACATAATTTTTGTAAGAGAGAGAAGAGGGTGATCTCGGTAAGAAATAGCAGGATATTAGTCACGTTAGTGGCTATCAGGAAGAAGGGAAGTTAAAAGTTTACTTTGTTTACAGAATAATTCATTTCTTTTTCATGTCTCAGCTTTCACACCGTGTGTATCCCAATATCCTATATCTGTAACTAAGGAGTATATAGATACCTATGAATCCACTGTTTTATACTTCATTAAGTTCATTGGCGTCGGAAGCAAATTGAAAGTGGGGGGGGGGGCTAAGTGTAAGAATTTTTGTATTTTTGTGTACCTCCAAAAACCTGACAAGCAAAAAAAAAAAAAAAAAAAAAGGAAATGTCTATTTCCCCAACAACGAAAATCCTATTTCGTGGGGGTGGGGGGGGGGTGGGTAGGTTCGAACTCCAGTACCAAAAATTTTCTTCCAAACACCAACACTTTTCCCAATTTTAACCTATTCTAAGACGTATCTGTGAAAAGTGGGGGGGCTAAACTTACGAAGATATGTTCAATATCTATACTACGTATATATTTTGAAAAAAAATGGGGGGCTAAGCCCCCCCTAGCCCCCCCGGTTCCGACGCCTATGAAGTTCATGGAAATAAGTTTTTGGTTCGGCATTAGTATTAAGGTCTTTTATCAACACTATCTGTCGCTAATAAACCTGTGTGAATAATATTTCCATTGATACTAACAATCCTAAGAAAAATATGGGGTATACACCCCGCGTACAACATGTTGCATACACCCCGGACACAACATTGATTTTTCGTCAATATCTTTATATATGAACTGTTTTATTTAAAGACAGTTTGTACAAACGTTTATATTGTAAACATGTATTTAACAATAACATAAAAGTGCTGATAAAGCAAAGCTTTGTTCTGATATTTGATCATAAACACAGTGTAGCGTCAATCTTGCTCCGATCCTCGGAATTGTGTTGAGGTGTTTGATAAATTAGAAGGTGTCCAGTGGATTCATAGGTATCCATATACTCCTTAGTTAATGCTTTCTTCCGTAGGCACATGCTTTCTGGCGAAAAATATCCGTAAGTTGAGAGTACGGGCAAAGAACGTACCTCGACCCCCCCCCCCTTTTCTCTCGCTTCGGAAGCATACTCCCCGCGCACAACATAGAATACACCCCGCATGTTGGGATATACACAGTGTTTCATAGATCCTCAGGTCAAACAACTAACACTTATGTGTGACCTATTTCCATCACCATCAACATATACTTGGAATTTAATTTGTTACATATAAACAAGGGTTAAATTGGACTCGTGCAATAAAGTCATGGTTTAACCATGTTAATATGAAATATGAAAGCAGGTGATTTGTGTTTAATTTTATACCTCTATTATGATTCAATGTTCCCATTATTCGTCTCACAGAAGGCAACATTTGTAGGCAAGAAGCAACTGAAGGGGGCGGGGGGGGTGGGGGGGGGGGGGGGGGGGGGGGGGGGGGGGGGGTAAGGAAAATGCTACTTCAGCATATTAGAGGTTCATTATACGCGATATCTTCATAATCATTGGACCTATAGTCGATGTTATAACTTATAATCATCATTTTTCTCTTTGTTCAGAATAATTGTCGGACATACTAGTATATCGACTTTGTTATCATCTTTCTCTTTATACAGGATAAATATCGTCTTTGTTATAATCATCACCTTTTCTTTATACAGAATAATCGTCGGACCTATCGTCTTTGTTATAATCATCATCTTTTTCTTTATTCAGAATAATCGTCGGACATATATCGTCTTTGTTATAATCATCATCTTTTTCTTTATACAGAATAATCGTCGGACATATACCCCAATCGTCTTTGTTATAATCATCATCTTTTTCTTTATACAGAATAATCGTCGGACCTATCGTCGCTGTTGTAATTATCATCGCTCTTGTCGTTCTGTGGTGTTACAGACGACGTAAGTATTTCTCAGTTATTGTAATAACATTGTACGAGATGCTGACCATTTACATTTATGTCCTGGTTCAATCCATGATTATGCAGGACCCCCTGGGTAGACTCTACAGAACAAATCAGTGATGCACGTGTTGCTGCCTTTCTTTGAGAAATTTGCAGCCAAATGACCATAATCTTTTTTTTTTTTACTATTAAGCATCAGCATAAAACGAAGATATGACAACTTTTTCAAGAAACCAATCTAAAAAAAAAAACCTCTGTAAATGTCCTTCTGACTGTACAACAGAACTTATTAAATTGTTAGAGATCAATCTAAAATGAAAAAAAACTCAGTGATTTTCAATCTCTGTTCTTATGACTACTCTTCTGACCACTTTTTCCAAGCAATAGTAAGCATTACAGAAAAACATATTGACAATGAAGTAACAATAAGCTGGGCTCAATTTTTGTATAACACACCTGTTTTTTTATTTTCAGGCAGAGCAACCTACAATCAGATTTGATGACATCATAAGTTTAGTAGTGACATCAGATTTGACAACATCATAAATTTAGTAGTAACATCATCTCACTCAGATCTAATGCCTCATTTGATGCTGGGTAATAACAAGTTTGGTGGTGACATTGCCACACTTAGATCTAATGCCTGGACTTTATCCTACTTCATTAAGCACACACCAATCTCTATGATGCTGATATCTGCATTACAAATTTGATGCCAAATAAAATGTTTATCATGTCGTTTTACTTTGTTGTGTGTTTATGTATAACAGGAGAACTCAACTCATCCTAACCCCAACCAGAGGCTATACCGGTATAATGACCTTCCACAATATAGTAAATACTGAACAGATGTCTGCTCTCTTTTAACTGATCACACAAATTGAAACTTCTTTTACCACAGTGAACTGTTTTTGAGTAGAAAGCTAAACTGTTTCATTGCAAAAATATAAAAATTCTGAGTAAATTTTAATGGTCAGAATTTATTTTTCATTCCAAAGTAAAACTGAAATACTACAAGTGTTTAATCCTACTTCTGATGTGTAATCAGCTGCTGCCAAACACTTTATTCACAAAAGAATCATACTGCTGTCTGGTGAAATATGGCAGCGAGGCCCCTAACAAAGCCTGCCCGGCCAAACTACCACAAAATAAGATCACAAGCCTCTTGTTTCCCAGTAAAGTCCTAGGGAACCAGCTAATATTACCTTTCTGGGCGTACGCGTTAAACTCGGAGGTGAACACCTTATAACTGACCATGAGGCAGGGATAGATGACTCCGAAGAACGTCTGTATTCCAACACTGCTTGCCGTTTGTGTGAGCAGTCTAGAGCCAGACCCCGTCAGAATCTGGTCCCTAACTGCGATGTTCTGTAGTATAAAAGTAGGGATACATGAAGTAAATAAACTGAGAAACAGAAATCCCGGAGGAATCTTCCTGTTGGAGGTGATCGCCTGAAAAATTCCGCTGGCGAGATAGGAAGACGTGAAAGCAGAGGCGCCATTAGCGATGTGTGGCTCATGACGCAACAGGAAACTGTAAAAGAAATTAAAAATCCTGTAATGTTGAAGTCTGTAAAATAAATAAAAATCATGTACCATTAAATTTTACTTTATTTATTCAGATCAAACATATGTATTCAAAGATTACAATTCATTGAATGTTTTCTGTAAGTAAAGAAAATGACCCAAATGAATGTTTAGGTAGAGTGCATCTCTATAGTTACAGTGGAAGTTTGGCTTGGTAAGGATTTACAAATATATAGTTTTAGTTACGTGAAAATGTACCTGCTTGCTTCAAAGGCGTTCAATAGCTATTCATCGTTTTTTTTTTCTTATTTAGGCCTAAAAAAAAATTATGCTTGTTTCCCGTAACATTCCCAAAATATCAATGGTATGTGGGCCAGGATTTTTTTGCTTACAAATAACTGGGGCCAAACATCCCTGGACTGAATATACCAGGTACATGTATTATATTCACAGTGGACATCCAACATGTCTGCCTAGCAGCAGAAAACAACCTTCAAAAAGTTGTAGGTGAAATTCTTGTTACAATAATGATTACTCTATATTTTAAATGCAAATGTTGATTAGGTCGACATATTTTATGTCTCAAAAGCTACAATTAATATTGAAAAAAATAATTGGAATAAGCTGATTGATTAAACTCAGATTAAAGTCACAACATGCTGACTGCTGAGAATCCATTTGTTCTGTAGCCTAGCACAGACTAATATCATACCACCTCATTCCATCTCGCACAAAGTCCTGTATCTGGAATAAGCCGATACTTCCCTCACCTCCCCCCCCCCCCCCCCCCCCCCCCGCCCTCAATATTTAAACACATGCAATGTGCTGAATACTTAGAACTCACATGCCTGGCACAATGTGCTGACTGCTGAGCATTCATTTGTTCCCTGATCTAGGACGGCTGATATCATACCACTTCTTTCCAACCTTCACACAGGAATACATATATAGTGTCCTGTAACTGGGATAAGCCAATACTTCCCTCTTGCCCCCCTTCCCCCCCCCCAAATATTAAAACACATGTAATGTGCTGTATGCGTAACTTACACATCTCGTAAGTTGGGATAGGCTGATATCTCCCTCTGAATGATCTTTTTAATTTGATCTGGTCTCATAACAACTGCTCCCTCTGGGAGCCTTGTGCCCGCCTTCCAGCGATGAATTCCCCCTCGGCGTACCCCTGAGGTTGGGACATCAGATGTCACGTCCTCTTTGAATTTCTCCTCCTCATTCATGATTCCCTCTGACAAACTGTAATGTCACTGTAATGTATTAAACAGTTAAAATTCTATAGACAGTTGAGTAAATACTGTGAATATTACTATTGTTTGCAGCTAACTGTAAAGTTTCACGTTTCGTCACTATCTTTTTCATCAGATGCATCCAGCGTAAACAATTCACGTGATTGGTCAACTCAAATTATCAACATTGATACGGAAATAGTCTGTTGCACGAGCAACCAATCAGGGATAAGAAGAAAGTTCCAGTCGTAAAGCTTGCGGTTAGGAGGCGTGTACAATTTACCTTGAGTGCAGCTATCAACTAGATCATGGCGTAACGTGAAACTTTACAGTCAGTTGCAAACAATAGTATGAAAAATTGTGGCTGTCACTGTAATGTTTTCAACAGCATAAATTGAAAATAAAATTCTATCATGTCTATCTCTATAAGCAGTAAATACAATGTTATAAAAACAGTGAAGCTCTTATTATTCATTGATCACATCTCTAATTTAGTTACAAGGGTATATTTTACTATCTTTACATTATTTTATCATGTTTATGAGATAGATGGATTATATTAGAATTGTTGTTAAAAGATTTGAAGTTAAATATTGAGGTTTAAACATTCCATGTGTAATGACTGGAGATGCAGGGATCCCGGGTTCGATTCCCGGTCCAGCCATACATTTTCTCCTTTTCTGTTACACATGTTTCTCAAATAATGTTTCAAAGGAATATAAGTAAACTTATATGTCTAACAATGAATGACTATCTACAAATATACATCACCTAGACGAGACAATAACACAGGATATTCGTTAAGGTGCTCTGTCGTGTTGAAATCAGAGAAAATTCGAGTTCTGCATATTTACACGTGAATTTTACAATTTTTGAAAGGGATAAACATTATCAACACAGATAGGTCTCGCTATCTTGTACGAACAGTGTCTTTTTTATCATATATCATGCATTAGTAGCATATCCTTTTCAGTGATTATGGTAAAATAACAAAAAATTGGTTTCATGCGGACGTCCTAAACAATACGACTTGATGAAGCCCGATCCCGATCTTTTTGTCAACCAGCAAGACCAAAGACGACTCACTCTAGAAGTTCATAAGAAATTAATTCTGAATTATAACTTAAAAAATGGATGTATAATTTGAGGGAAAAATCATATAAAACGTGATAAAATTAAACAAAAATTAGAGTATAATATAATAAATTAATTAAGGTCAAGATCTAGTAAATGAAAGGTGCCTACAGATTTATCAAACTTGAGAAATAAATTCCTTTATTAATGCTTTACAACTTTAGCTTGGTCAAATAAGGTGTTTCGGGGCAAAATTTGTAGGTAAACAAGATGAAAAACTGTATTATAAACTGTCATTTTCGATGAAAAATTAAGAAAACGAGTAATGAATATGGGAGTTTTTTTCGTATTCGGCACAGGAAATGTATCCAGATTGCCTACAGTCGTTCAGAAAACGGTAATTAGTATGTTCATGGCCTCTTCTTTAAATCAATATTAAATTTAATATAGGTATCCGGTTTACTTTTCATATGATTTCAAATTGAATGACATGAAAATACCCTATTTTCTATACATAATTCTGCTAAAGCTGTAAAGTACGGGAAAAAGAAAAATGAAATTGATTATGACGTCATAATGGATCTAGCACCAAAAAATTAGTCTCAAGTTATTTACTAGATGACCTTAAGTAAAGGAGAAACATACATGCCAACTTTTGAAAATTCCCATGGGGGATTTTGCGCGTGACGACATTTTTCATAGCTTTAAATTCGCGACATTTTGTCGTGAAATTAAATGATTATGACATGATCTTTTTTTAAAAAAATTATAATACAATTAATATCACTTATTAATACTACTAAAGGATAAAAATAACACAAAAATAAGGTTTTTCTTTCCAAAATGGAAATATTTTTGCTCAAATAGGTGCCTCTCTCACTAAAGAAGGGATAATTAGTTACATATGTAAACTTAATTTTTTTTACCAGCTAGGACACATAATTTGGAGAAAAATTGAAAATTGTACAACTTTTGATACTGTAAAGTACTGTTTCTGGGAAAATTTATGAGATTTTTATATTTTAATTAATTAGAAACTCTAATCAGATATTAAATTGAAAGAAATTTTGAGAAATTGCTATGCATTTATTTTTTATTCAAAGAAATAAATCATCAGTTTTGAAGAATGAAATCATCAATTTTCTAACATAAAGATACCACCTATCCCAAAGAAATTTATTTTTTACAGCTTGAACTTTGGCAGGCTTGATGGTGCTATGTGGGTATTTCTTAGTCATGCACATATGCATAAAATATTATAATTACTTTTGGGAGAAGGGAGGGAAAAGAAATTCTAATTGACATAGACTTTATTGTTTCATCAGGATTTTTTTCATATTAATTTAATTGGCAAACTTTACAATATATTTTCATTATAGGTAGATAAAGTCAGCAGCTATGCTTTGTATTTTTCTACTTTCGTTTTCAAATAACGATCTTCTTGGATTCCGATTTTATGGTTTGGTTATTATTTAGTTGTCTTTAATTTATGTTTTCAATAAAATGACAAACAGTTATCCCCTTAATCTATGTGTTTCACCTTGCGTACCCCTTAAAACTGAAAAGATAATCCCCTAATTAATTGCCCCATGCTATAATTAAGCTACCTGCTGCATTTCATTTCCGGAAATTTGGGTAATTATCAACTTTTCATTTCCGACATTTTTTAGTTTTCATTTCCGACATTCTTTAGATTTCATTTCCGACATTTTTCAAATTTATATGTAGTACTTATAGTAATGTTTGATAACTTTACATATGAATAATTTAAAGGAATAAATCATTAATAAATAATTGAAATCCAATTTTGTAAATCTATCAGTGACTTGAACATAAGTTCGGTGCTGTCACTGACATTTAATTAAGTGCACATTAAATGTGGGGGAAAAGTTTTATGCATTACCGTCCTTGACTTTGTGCTACATGAATGAATATATATGTATACATAGATGTTTTTTTTTTTTTATTCATATTTTGGTATAAATACTTTAAAAATTCCATCTTCTTTTACTTAAAAAACATTGAATTGCTGCACAGGTAAATTCCGGAAATGAAAAAAAAAATGTTGGAAATGTAAACAAAAAATGTCGGAAATGAAATAAAAAAAATGTCGGAAATGCTATGCATATTTCCGGAAATGAAATGCAGCGACCTGGACGACTCCGTGCGTTCAAGCGTGAAGCGATTTCCTGTGGCTAATTAACCATGTTAACACCTAAATAAACAATGAAACTTATCTGTGTGCATTGAATAAACAAGTCTGATATTGTTATCCCAAGTGACAAAATTCAGCGGTATAGGGAAACTTATAAAATCGGAAATTTTACAAATCGGGAAATTTGGTCAATTTTTCTCTCCCGATCGGGAAGGCGGGATGAAAGGGTAAAATCGGAAGAATCCCGCCTAAATCGGAAAAGTTGGCATGTATGGAGAAAGGCTTGGACCGTAGGCCCTAGATTAGTTCTCTCTCACAGAATGGACAGTACGAGGCCTTTCTCCTACTTAAAACATGATTCTCTTTGTTCTGAGAGTTAAAAAAGAGATGTGCAAAATACATGTGTAGGTACATGTAGCACACATACAATAAGTCCATTGTTTACAGAATGGACAGTTATGGGTAATGATGCAAAGCAATTTGTCGAATAGCCATTGCGTTTCCAAATGCGAATGGACTGTTACAGGTGGATTTCGGGGGTTGCTTGTATTTATATAATTATAAAAATGCAATTCTTCAAAATCAGTTAATATTTTGCGTTGTAAAGGCAAACGTTTACCTCCGATGGAGAGAATATATACTAGTATATACAGAATTGAAATCGAATGGAAACCAAAAGATGCACAAATCATGTTATTTTGACCTGGAAACAGAGGATAGTAAGCATAAAAGAAAATATCATCCAAACTTTGATTCCCTCAAAACTTCTTCGATGGGATATATTAATTGCAGCAGTGAAATGGTGAAATGCAAATTGTGTTCCGAATGTTGGATAGCCATGTGCCAAAACTTCGACCTGAAAATGTATTTCAAATCAAATGTTCAGTTTTAACTATATTTTCTACCGAAATATTCACTGCAGCGGTGTAATTTTCATGGTTCAAATTGTTTTCTGGGTGATGGATTTAAAATTAACCTACTTCAAGCTTAATTAAAATAGATTTATCTTGAGGTAATGATCGTTCCAAAATCTTAATCAAATGTGAAATTATGTCGTTCAAATTCAAGTTTTGTGAAAAAATATGAGTTTTGAGCATTAAATTTATATGTGCATTATTCATGGATTTTTAAAAATATGTAAAATCGAACAGATCCGATGAAGACACCGTGTTCTGGATTAACTTAAATCCCCAAGTTCTTTTTGTTATTTTGTTATTCATTAAATCGTATTTGATGTATTTGTTTTTGTTTCCCTTTTTTGCACATGCTAAGGTTTACCTGTAACTCTCCATTCTGTTTGTTTTAATTGCCCATTCTTTTTGAAAAAAAAACTGTCCATTCTTCGAAAAAGAATGGACACTTACAGGTGACTGAATGGATTGTTAGGAGAGTTAGCTCAACACTAAGCTATATAATGGACAATACAAACAAAGATTTACATCACAATCATGTTTTAAAAAAGAATAGACCATGGCACGATGATTATCCGATAATATATTTCCATTTCTAATTTTTTTTTCTCCGTGATAACTCTTTGAAAGTTAACGGAGTTGATTTCTTGATAATTCTACCGGAATGTAAATTAGGCAGATTGATATAGGCCAGGAGCTAAGGAGACCTTATATGTATATATTTCCATTTCTTTTTTTTTTCAGTGATAACTCATTAAAAGTTAGGGGTAGTTTATTTCTTGATAATTCTCCCGGAGTGTAAATTAGGCAGGTCGATAGGTCGGGAGCTAAGGAGGCCTAATACGCATGCAATTCTCGTGCGCATCTGTCTCTGTGTCTGACGCTAAGGAGGCCAAATATGCATGTAAATCTCGTGCGGCTGCCTTTGTGTTTGACGTCGGTTGGCGAGGACTATTGAAATTGGCATGGAAGTCATCATGTGATTTAAATCTATTTATCTACATTTTTAAAGTCTAAATCTACAATTTTATTTCACAATGAAATGGAAATATAAGGAATCACTGTCTAGTTAGGAGGGTATGTCAGGGACATCAACAATAGTGGGAAACATGGGATAATTTAAGCATAACGGGCTTCGCCCGTTATGCAAATTATCCCATGTTTCCCACTATTGTTGATGCCCTGACATATCCTCCTAACTAGACAGTGATTCCTTAAGCAATTCTCGTGCACACCTGTCTCTGTGTCTGACGTTATTTTAGAGGCCAAATATGCATGTACATGTAAATCTCGTGCGGCTGCCTTTAGCTTTGTGTTTGGCGTCAATGAGCGAGGACTATCGAAATTGGCATGAAAATCCTCGTTTTATATAAACCTATGTCTACATTTAAAAAGTCTAAATCAATTATTTTATTTCACAATGAAATTGAAATACGAGGAATCGCTATCTAGTTAGTAAAGTATGCCAGGGTCATCAACGAAAGTGGGAAACATTGGATAAATTATCCCCTGTTTCCTACTACCGTTCTTTAATAACTAGACAGTGATAAATTTAGCTGCAGAACTGTAGCTCTCTGCTAGTGAAAATTCGGACAGATAAAGCAGAAAGCTACAGATCCACGCGTTGTAAAAACCTTCGATTTACGCCGACGATTTTTCGTCGCTACTGTAGGCATTTATTTCGTTTAGTTTAAACTTTCTCTGGCTATTAGAATGGTAACCTTTAATTCATCATATATTTAACTATTATTCTTGATACGTTATTTATCTTTTAGCGGTCCGAAACAGTCCTGTATATAGTTTTATAATGTCGGTTTAAAAGAGTTCCATTTCGACGTCCGTAAACATAAAGAGTCATTTGTTAGCGTTGAAACACATGTGAAAGGTAAGTAAGTTATCAGGA